CGCCCTAAATCCCACCCCCCCAGACCCTGAACCCCGGGGGGGGTTCCCTTTTTGGGGGGGGGGGGGACGGGGCCCCCGGAGAATGTTCCCCATCCCCTTGGGGGGGGGGGCCCCCAAGCCCCCCCCCCCCAAATTTCCGACCCCCGCGGGGGTGGCGGTCCCTGGGGGGGGGGGGGGAACCCCCCTTGGATCCCCTCCTCCCCCACTTAGCCCTGGCCCAACCCCGGATTTTTCCCCCCGGGGGGGAAAAACTCCCCCAGGAAAGCGCCCCTTTCCTTAAGGGGGAACCCCCCCCCCCCGGGGGGGGGAAACGGGTTTTTCCATTTTTTTAAAACCCCCCGGGGGATAGGAGGGGGGGAATTTCCCCCCCCCCCCCCCCCCCCCGCCGAACCCTTCTCCCTCGCCGTCCCTCTCCTCGCCGCCCTCCCCATCGCCCCCCCCCCCGCCGACGGCCCCCTCTCCGCTGCCCTCCCCCCCCGCCGCCCTCCAGTGACCAGCGGAGCACGTGTCCTCTCGAGCACGGAAGTGGGAGGGCTCGAAGACGGACCTCTCTCGCTCCCACATTGGGCTCTCCCCCCCTTCTCGCCAACCCACTACATTCCATCATCAAAGTTCTCCGCCTCGAAGACCTCGAAGTGCAGATCAGGGCGGACCAGCTGCTTCCCCCATATGGCGCTCTGCGCGCTACTAGGGGTACGTGACTTCGTCTTCTGCTTCTAAGGAGACTTGCGTGTTTGTTTTGACCGCGTGGCCGCGCGCGCGCATCGCCTCGCCCGCGCCTCCCAGCTTCTTGTAGTCGGCCTGGAACTCACAAACAGCTCCTCTCAGAGTCCATTCTAAACGAGGTCATCACGCAAGCTCTTGCCGTCGGCCTTTTGCAGGTGCAGCTTGGCGCGCGAGCAGTACATGCGGCCGCACACGTGCGTGAGCAGCTCGCCTGCGGGGAGATGTGGGGGAGATGTGGGGGAGATATGGGGGAGATATCGCGTGCCTGCGGCGTGACGACGTGGGGAGAGATGGGGGAGATATGGCGGGGGGGGGGGGAGATGCGGAGAGACGCGGCCGCACACGCGCTGGGAGCAGCTCGCCGAAAGGCGTCGTCGCCATCTCTGCCGCCTTCTCCCGGCACCTCTCGACAAAGGCTGCGCGCTCGGCCTCGTCGCCGTCGACAAACGGCGCGAGCAGCGCGGCGAGCTCCTGTAAGGAGGGAGTGAAGGAATGAGCGCCGTTCATGAATGGGGGAACGGCGCGGGCAGCGCGGCGAGCTCCTGTAAGGAAGGGAGTGAAGGAATGAGCGCCTTTCATGAATGGGGGAACGGCGCGGGCAGCGCGGCGAGCTCCTGTAAGGAAAGGAGTGAAGGAATGAGCGCCCTTCATGAATGGGGGAACGG